AAGTTTTAGGAAGAAAGAAAGTAACTTAAAATACATGAAATGCAAGTTACTGGGATGTGTAAAATCAAGTTATGATGGTCTGAGGATGAACAGGCTATTCTGCTGTTACATTGAGACTCCAAAGGTTGATAGTTTTAACATTAATTAATAAAATCCTTATAAACTACCAATCTGGCTCTGACAAATACCACCACTATTATAATAACCACAAACAATAATAATGCTAATTTGTCTGGAATTTTTGTTTCTTCCAGAAAGTTCTTATAAACTTCAGGAGCTCTAAACCCACGGATACCTACAGCCTGAGATAAACTTGAGAAAAGTACTATCAAGCTACGGTTTGTTTCCTTACCAGCCTATTTCTTAAAGGAACATTCTCTCCTCTCTCTCTCCTCTCTCTCTCTTCTCTCTCTCCTCTCTCTTCTCTCTCTTCTCTCTCTTCTCCTCTCTCTCTCTCTCTCTCTCTCTCTCTCTCTCTCTCTCTCTGAATTTATTGGAACTCTCTTTTCTCATCTACCAGGACCCTGCACTTAAAAATCAAAATGTACACCTAAGAAAAAAGTTTCCTCTCTAAAATTCCTTAGCTTCATGTTCTGCCATTAATATATATTTGTTCCAGCAGATTCCTAATCAATTAAAGATTACAGACTGACCAAAGTTGCCTACATGCTCCAGGCCCCAGATTGCCCCACAGAGCCTGGACAACAAATGAAACAGCCCGCTCTTTCCAGGTTTCCACTGCATTCCAGCCTTCAGGAACTCCAGCTTCCCTCCACGTCAGCAGGAAGCAACCATGAGTGATCTCTACACCCCTTTGTCACTTACCCCTTTCTACACTGAACTCTCCAGCCTAGGGTCTGGACTGCCCTTAAAACACGTTCTATGATTGATTGTGTAAATTCTGTCCACGATCCTGACATGTATACTTTGACATACAGTCTTGATATGTACTTCTAACAACTGTTCTGTTATGGAAATATTACCATATATGTACTGAGAGAGATTGGTACTGCCCCCTCATAGCCAAACTGGTTTATTAATTGCTTTGATTAAAAGTTTTAAGATACTTGTCAGCTTCAGCCACAGGCTAGATTCAGCAAATACACACCATTATTCTGGTAAACTCTTTATCTAAAAATATTTCATTGCCTTTAGACACTCAAAAAGAAACTGATCCGGGATTAACAGATAAAGTTAATGTTCTAGAAAAAACTATTCTTCTATGATATTCAAATTCAAAATATTTAGACACACTCACAACATGATGTCATACTAACTGGTCCCCAGTTTGCCATCAATATAGATTACAAATTACAAATATTGATTATTGATTATAATTATAGACTATTGATTATAGATTATTGGTTATAAATATTGATTAAATATCAATATAGGTTATTGATTCTTATTAATTTCAAAATAATTACAATAATTGCTTGTCAGTCTTCCAATCATCTTCAGACTTTTAATTATTCATACTACTTACTGCCCTAAGAGAGATTTACGTGCTTCTTTTCTTAAATCAAACAGAAAAGAGGGAGTACGCAGGGATCTGTGGGAATGTACTAGTTGTACAACAGGGACAACTAGTGTTTAACAAGTCGACTCACCAGATGCATGATTCCCTGCTGGGGCGGGGGCAATGCTGTGGGGTTATTGACTGTGGATGATTGGTTGTTTTCTGTCCATAACTTTTTCAGGTGCCACTGCTATGCCTCCCCAATAAGAACAGCGGTGGGGTTCTTTCCATAGCCCTTTGATGGTGTGCTTTATACTTGTTGGGTATACATATAGCCATGAATGGTCAGGAAGATGATTTCTGCCTATATTTTACATTACTTAGACTGACATAGGATTCTCAGTCACAAAGACAGCTTTTTACACAGACAGCTCATTTTGGACTTTAGAGCAGATTCAAAGCAGGCTGGTTGCCCTGGAGACAAATACATGAGGTCAATTTCCCAGGTGTTGTTTGTTGCTGTTTCAAGGTCAGGATAGAAGCAACTTTATTAGACATAACTTTATTGGTAATTGACTTTTTGCATGTAGTCCTAGTCTCAGGCTCAAGGTTCAGCCAATTGTTGACTGTCTGAGATCCCTCATCAACTTAGAGCTATGTGTATGGGTCAATGTGACATCACTAGCCTAAGAGAAACTATGTGACTTATCTTGTGTTATGAGAATTGGTAGGGCCCTGAAAATGTAACTTATAATTGTCCAGAGTTTGGTTGTGATCTGTGTAGAGCTATGTGAGAGAAGTATGTGTGTGTGCTGAGTGAGAGATGAAGAAGCATGAGAGAAGTGTGTGTGTGTGTGTGTGTGTGCTGAGTGAGAGATGAAGAAGCGTGAGAAGTGTGAGGGAGTGAGTGGGTGAAAGAGTGAGTGAATAATCTAGAAGAAGTAAGTGTGTGTGAGTGAGTGTGAGAGCATTGTGTGAAAGTGCTGCTGCTACACAGAGGAGCTGTGCCTAGGATCTGTGTAAAGTGCTCTATAGTGAGGGAGCTGTGTAAATGAGATGTTTAGCTGTGGCTGTGTGGAGATTTCTAACTGTGTGGAGACAAGGAAGATGAAGCTGTGTAGAAAAGAGATGTAGAAGAGCAATGTATGCACAGCCATGTGAAAAGATGTATGTACATAAAGAATGTAGCTGTGTGAAAATAGAGATTGCCAAGAAAGAGAGATTAAGTTGAAGCAAAAGAGAAGGTCACCATCAGGAAAGCATGTGCTTGTTCCTTTTTTCTTAGGTTACTAGCAGAAATTGTGTGTGTTTCCTTATTTTCCCCCCTCAGATAGGAAAAAGTCTAGCTCTCAGATAAGAATTTTTCCTAAGCCCTCACTGCCTTCATGGATTTTTTTTTTCTTTTTGCATACCCTGGTGGTAGCTGGAGGCTGATCCCTCAAGCTACTGATAGGTATCTTTTGGTCATTTGACTATGATGTGGGAGTATCTTTGGTCACCTGACTGTAATAGGATGTGGGAGTATCTTTGGTCGTCTGACTGTAATAGGATGTGGAGTATCTCTGGTCATTTGACTATGATGTGGGAGTATCTTTGGTCATCTGACTATAATAGGATGTGGGAGTATCTTTGGTCATCTGACTGTAATAGGATGTGGGAGTATCTTTCGGTCATCTGACTGTAATAGGATGTGGGAGTATCTT